CCACATCACAGGCAAAAGTTTTCCTTCTGAAGAGGAAGTGCTAAGACATTTTTTATGCAATCTTAATTTCTGTCTTCTGTTCATCTTTCCCCTAAATCCCACTTGTCCCTGTCAGATCCAGAATACTGAATGGGTATCAGGAAGTAAGGTCTAGCTTGGATTCTCAGTGTAAAATAACTCCCCACCTCCCTAAATACCTGCATAAGCAACAGACAGGGAGAAGAAGGAAGAAGAAATCAAAACCAAGAGTCTCAGAGCCCAAGAGCAATAATCCCGTAGGAACAGGAAAAGGCAGACGCCCCCAGGCTGGACCCACCCAGCAGTGAGTACAGAAGCTTCAAAGTCCTTGAGCAGCAGATGGCGAAGGGCGGAAGGCACAGTGGTGCTGTGAGAGCCGCACGGCTGGGACCTGAGCTGAGCCCTCACTCAGCTACTAGGCGGGCTGGAGCCAGCTATTAGCCTGCAGCCCCATGTTTTATCTAAAAGGAAAAGACAGCTAGATGCTTCCATAGATGCACTGTTTACCTAGCATTTAGCACAGTGCTGCGAACGACAGGAAAGAGAAATGAGGACAGGCTCAGACCAAAGGAAGAGAAGGCGCAGGGCCTGAGGAGCAGGAGTTGAGTGCGCAGCATTTGGACAGGCTGCCTCGTGCACGTGGGTTCTCGCCAGATCCATGCGGAACAGCCAGGGGAGCAAGGGTGGGCAGCTGGGCTCTAGGGCCAAGAGGGTGCCTGGGCCTGAAGACAGGTGGGGTGACAGAGGGGGGGCACATGGGGCCAATGGAGATGAAGGCGCTCACCCTCCGGGCCTCACTCTGATACTTGACTGCCTTTTTGGTGTCTGCGACAGCCCGCTCCACGAAGCCCACTGACTGGTCCATGTTGTTCTCAATACGGTCAATCATGGCTCCCTTCACCCAGGTGCAAGAGACAGTGGCGGCAGAAAGAGACAGAGACAGAGACAGCATACAACATGGACTCTCCCTGAAGGCGGCAGGAAAATCTCACCTTCCGGGCCTGACTCTGGTATTTCACAGCTCGCTTAGTTTCTTCTTGTGCCTTCTCCACGTGATCAACTGTGTGCAGGACGTTCAACTCTATGTTATCTAACATCTCACCCTGCAAAGACCAGAGATGAGTCACCCCGAGAGGCCCACCGAGCAGCCCGAGCTAGCAGTCCCAGCGCCGAGAGGAGCAGCTGTGAACAGCACGTACGCACTCCCGCACAGCAGCTGCAGCTCCCCGGCGCTTCGTGTCAGTCAGGGAGCTCACTAGGCACGTCCCTGTGAGCAGCCCTGCCGAGCAGCACCTGGGAGGCTGGCCAGCACCCGGAGCCACACACGAGTACTTCAAGGGGTCCCCACCACCTTTTTGGAAACTTAAGCATATGGGGAGGACAAAAGTAAGACTATCTCATGTTTTGCTTCTGCTGCTGCTGCTACTGCTGCTGTTGCTGGACACCACGGCACCAGCCTCTGCCTGGCCATTCAGGACTGAACCGAGTTCACACAGCCTACATGACGTCTGCTCACCACTACAGTGCATAGCACACAGCCAGCTTTCAGCAAGGGCCGGTGCTTAGGAACCTACACATCCCCCAGCAGGAGTTACCAGGCCCCTCAAGTGACAGCCGTGAGATTTATTTGAACTACTTGGTTCTCTTCCTCCGCAGACAGTGGGCTCTTGGACTCCCCGCCATTCTCCAGCTATCACTCTCTGCCTGCAGCTAACTCGCAGGCTAAGGAATCCCCCCGCGTTCACGCCGCCCACCTTACACTAAGCCATCACATAGCAGCCCTACATAATCCAGCAAGGGACTCACCAGCACTTGAATCCCAAGCCAGCTCCTCGTCAAGGCAGCATGGGGGAAAGAGAAGATTCAGGATGGAGAGGCTTGCGAATGGTCTCGTGAGACAGGAAAGGGGTGGGGAAGGCACTGCACCCAAGGCACAGGACACCAGAAAGTGGTGCCTAGGCTGCATGCAGGTAGGCTTTGCAGCCTGTCTGCTAAGGTAGCAGTGTCCAGGTGTGCAGGTGGCAGTGCAGCTGAAGTCCCCAGTAAACCTGGCACAACCCTAAGACTCTGTGGCCCAAGAAAAGAGGAACTGCCTCACTCTGAAATTGGCACCCTCTGCAGCAAGGTGTCCGTGAGTGAGGTGAGCATGGCCATCCCTGAGGTGAGGGCATCTGTCCCTGAGGTGAGGTTGTCCTGTCCCCAGATGAAGTGAGGGTGTCCATCCCTGAGATGAGTGTGTCTGTCCCTGAGTGAGGTGAAACTGTCCCGTCCCCAGGTAAAATGAGGCTGTCCGCCCCTGAGGTGAGGGTGCCCGTCCCCAAGTGAGGTGAGGATGTCCCCTCCCTGAGTGAGGTGAGGGCATCTGTACCCAGGTGAGGTGAGGGTATCTGTCCCCAAGGTGAGGGTGTCCATCCTGGAGGTAAGGGTGTCTGTCCCTGAGTGAGGTGAGGGCAGCTGTACCCGGGTGAAGTGAGGGTATCTATCCCTGAGTGAGTGAAGGCATCTGTCCCCAGGTGAGGTGAAGGTGTCCTGTCCCTGAGTGAGGTGAGGGCATCCATCCCTGAGGTGAGGGTATCCATCCACACATGAAGTATGAGTATTCCATCCCTGAGTGAGGCGAGAGTATCTGTCCCCGCACAAGGTGAGGGTGTCCATCCCTGAGGTTAGGTTGTCCTGTCCCCAGATGAAGTGAGGGTATCCATTCCTGAGGTGAGGGTGTCTGTCCCTGAGTGAGGTGAGAGTGTCCCGTCCCCAGGTGAAGTGAGGGAGTCCACCCCCGAGGTGAGGGTGCCTATCCCCGAGTGAGGTGAGGATGTCCCCTCCCTGAGGTGAGGGTGTCCAGTTCCTGACTAAGGCGAGGGTGTGTCCCCCGGTGAGGTGAGGTGAGGGTGTCCATCCTGGAGGTGAGGGTGTCTGGCCCTGAGTGAGGGCATCTATCCCCAGGTGAGGTGAGGGTGTCTGTCCCTGAGTGAGGGCATCTGTCCCCAGGTGAGGTGAGGGCGTCTGTTCCCAGGTGAGGTGAGGG